TCACACTAGTCCTGATAGATAGATATATAGAGAGATATATGGATAGATAGATAGATAGATAGATATGCACCCATGCTTTGTGCTGCAGCACATCACGAATGTGTAGGAAACAAGCCAAGGAGGAGCAGGGTGCTGTCCTGACACCCCATAGCAGTGCCTCCCATGGGAGCCCAGCTTTTCTTTGCTAAACGCCTCTCCCCTTCCTCTGAGTGGCCTGTGAGTCACCTTGCTGTTCATCTGATCCCCAGGCTGCTCTTCGTTCTTATCTCCCCAGAGTTTGGCCACGCGATGCAAACTCTCCGTAGGGCTGTGGCACAGATGTGCCACAAGAAAAGAAAGTCAGTCCTGAAGCAGATCCCCCGCTTCTCTGGCTGGAACCACAGCCCATATACAGCGTTGGGCTGAGGCGTGGACCTGTGTGATGGTACATCTGCTGAGCAGTGTTACGTCCCCTGCCTGCAGCAGACAGCAGGTGACATTTGGGAAGACTTTTTGACTGATCTGTGGAAGGGTGAGGATGGTTTTCTCCCACCCTTGGCATCGCCAGGATGCTCTGCTCGGAAATCAGCATCTGCAGGGCTGGGAGGACCAGCAGCACTTTTGTTCCCATGGAAACTCAGAGCGGGATGTCTGGGGCTTTCGTTTCTCTTCTGCTGCGGGTTAGAGACCGGCTGGGTGAAGGGGGGCTGGAGGTGAGACGAGGGGGCAAAGGGGAAGAAGGGCGAGTGCTCCTCAGGGAGGAATGAGACCTCTGCCCTCCAGCTGCAGCAGTGAGGGTGATGAAGAGCATCCCTTGATGAAGGGCAAGCAGTGGCGGGTTTTAGGGGTACCAGTGGCCTTGACTACATTGCAAAGGTTCAGAGAGCATCCTGTGGGCAGGAGTGAAGGCAGCGATGGAAACGACTCCCTTCTGGAGGGCACTAAACGGTTAACAGCACGCATGCTGCTCTTAATTAATTGCAGCCTGGTTTTGCTATCCCTCTGCTGTGAGGGCTCCCAGAGGCTCTCCCAGCCTCCAGTCCGGCTGCCAGGGCTTGACATTTTCGGGGGTGTGAACGTGAGCCCTCAGCTTGTCTCCGCACGCGCCGTGCTGGGAAGGAAAGGTCAGGGCTTGTGACAGGCAGCTTAAACCCCCAGCTCTGTTCCCGACTGGCTTCCTCTGGCTGGGAGGAGAGCTTGGGCAGGAGAAGGAGCAGGTTTTGGATGGAAAGGGTCTGGCAGGGTCTTCCGTGACCGGCTTGCTTTTAGGTATCTCAGTCCTAGCCTGGTAAGTGGTTCCTGGAGCTGCCTGCCTCCCATTTTTGCTGGTGATCTCATAGAGCATCAAAAACTAGTTGGTGACAGAGGCCGCATTCTTGCCTGCCACCCAGAGAAAGCATCTTTTCATCCAGCACCGAGATCCATCACTTTTCAACACCTCTGTCCCTTGCTGGTGTCGTGTGAGGAAGACAGAGCGTCTGTCATTTTTAGGGGGGCCTCCCCACAGGCCTGGGGATGGGGAGAGAAACAGCCAGAGCTCGGCATCTCTGCTAGCCACAGAGGGGGTTGCCCGTGCAGGATGTGGCACTGAAGGTGCTGCAAGGGGGATTCGTGTCTCCTGAAAGTGAAGAAACATTCTCATAAAAAAAAAAAAAAAAAAAAAAGAAAAGAAAAAAAGAAAAGAGAGAAGATAAAAATTCCCTTCTCCCCATCCCCTGCGCCTCTCTCCTTTCGTTACTAAGCAACTGGTCCTTGATCTTTCTGTCTTTCTTCTTTCCTTTGGTTCCCAAGTGAAGTCATTAAAATGTCTGGAGGGATGAAATTCATATTTCACCTTCTGGCTGTCTGGGCAAGGAGCCCCTGGGGCCAGGGTCCCTTGGAGACACCCTGCAGGTCTGATGGAGGGCTCTGTCTGGGCACGGATCCCAGCCAGGGCTGAGCCAGAGCGGGACCTGCGTGTTTGCACGCTTGCATTTCACACTGGGATCGGGCGGGGAGCAGGTGGGATCAGAAGGGACGGAGCAGGTCTGTGCCATCCGCTGCAGCCGGCTCCCGCCCAATTTGCTCTGCCCTCAGCCCTTCGCAGCCAGCCCGCACGTCTCTGCCACGAGGATCCGCGGCGCGGGTGCCCGGCGGCCGTCCCTGCTCCACCGGAGCTGCATGTCCTTCTGCCACGACACCGGCTCCTCGCCAGTGCCGGACGGGCTGCAGCAGCCGGCTCCGGGGCGGGGCTTAAAAACCACTCAATGCCAGCGCGAGTCTGCGGTCTTCATCGGATAGCCGGAGCCCCGGGGATCTGGGTAACGGGAGAGGGGGAGCACGGCCAGCCTCACCTGCCCGTGCCGGGGTTTCGGTGGCGTTGCATCGCGTTCTGTGCCACCGCGTGAAAATTAGGAAGTATTAATTATGGTTTCTTGGTGGCAGTGGGGAATTCAGCTCCCGCAGATGTGATTAATTATCCGCCTCTCCCCTCTCTGCAGAGTCTGCCCAGCATCCTTCCTTCACGTTTGAAACAGAGACCTCCTCCGACTGGGAGCCCCAGGACTTTGACTTCAGCGCTGCCCGCAGCTCCTCACCCTCCCCCAGGACCTTCTGCAAGGCGGTGGTGAAGGGGCTGAGGAGCAATGAGCCCGTGCAGTGGGAAGTCGCCTTTGATATCCGCCCTCTCTTCCGAGAGCGGGAGGGCCAGGCGGACGGCGACACAGACCTGTGGAACGAGACCTTCCACCACCTGGCAGCCAAGTCGGTCATCCGGGACTTTGAGCAGCTCGCCGAGAAGGAGTGTGAAATCGAGCACGGTAACGCGCAGCTCCCGGCCAGCCTGCAAGCTGGCTGCAGGCAGACCCTGCCCGGCCTCCGGGGGCGCTTCCCAGAGGCTTCAGTAGCCTCTCGAGTTAATACAAGAGCAGGCAGTGTTCCCAAAGCAGCACCTTCCAGCTGCCTTGCAGTTTTCTCCTGCTTCTGCAGCCTTGCTGCACGTTAACACACTCGAGGTCGTGATCCTTCGTGCTCCCCTGCTTCACACATAGGGTGATGGTGATTTTTTTTAAGGACTTAGTCACCTGGAGCTGGGAGGTGGACTCAGAGGGTCCAACAGCAGCCACACGTCATTGCTCTGGGCTGCACATGTCCCTGGGTCTTGTCAAACCTTTCCTCCGTGAAGTGCCTCTGTGCACGTAAAATAAGAGCGGGAGAAGCAGTAGGCAGAGTTTAGAGGGATGCAGTCCTTGCTGGGCAGGGAGCCCAAGCATGGAGGTGGGTCTGGGAGCTGGGTCCAAGGGGTGGATGGAGCCCACAGGGCACGTGGGCTCTAACCATGGTGTCTCTCGTGTGGCAGGGTCAGGGCGGCGGTACCACATCAACGCTGTCCACACCAGAAAGGCCTCGCAACGTACCCGGCTTCCCTGCCGGTGGACCTGAGCACCAACGCCTACCTGCCCACCGTCGTCGAGTACACCCACACAGGTAACGTGGGGCCGGTGGAGGGGTGAAACGTGGTCCTGGGAGGGAGGGTGTCACCCGAGAAACCTCGCTCAGAGCAAACCCTAGGAAGCCACGTCTCAATTCAGCACCAGACCTCTATACCCAAGGCCATGGCTGAGCCTAACGGCCTGCCTGCTGCTCATGGTGGTAAGAACCTCTCCCCCATGGCCAGGCAAAAGGTCTGCTCTTAGGTCTGGATGCCCAGAGATGACCAAGCTCGTCAGTCTGTGGGTTTTGTTGCCATCGCGTGTGTGCCAGTTCCTCTCTACGCTGGCAATTCCCTTCTCTCGTGCCGAGGGGCAGCATCCAAGCAAGGCAGCCAGAGGAGCCTGAGCTCAGGAAACAGAAGGCATCGTGGCTTTTCCCCTGGACGTCCCCAGTCAGCCTGTGGCCAGAATGGAGACGATGGATTTTACAGCATGAGTAAGATTCCCTTGGGTTTTGTCTCCTTCTGGGTGCTGCAGAACTCAGTGGTTTTCTTCTATGAAGGGACGTCTTCTCTGGTCTTTTTTTCTTCTGCCTTCCTCTTTGACTATGGTGCTCACCAGACACATGTCTGGCTGGAGTCCATCTCCTTAAATGGGGAAGAAGCTGCAATTTCCCCTGAAACTCCCAAATCACAGGCAGTCGCTGCTGACAGTGCTTGGAAGTTAATTGGCAGCCATAACGCAGATAACATGAGGGATGAAGCCGGGTGTAATTAGAGGCAAGGGGATGTGAGACACTTGCTTGTCACCAAATCCTCCGCTAATGAAGACGAGTTGGATCGGACCTTGTCTGGCATTGTCAGATCTGCAGCTGAATTAAAATCACCCCTGATCAGGCTCATTAACCTGATAATGCTGTGGAGAGGGAGAGCAGCCGTGCCGCAGCCCGGGGCGACGGCGGTTTCGGCTGGGTGGCGTGGCTGATGGGGTTCCTCCGTTGCAGATGCAGAGGAGAGCAGCCTGTCGCCCTGCAGCACCCCTTCCTCCGCTGGCTGGGAGCGCTGCGGTCTCCCCGAAGGTAGGGAAAAGAGCTGACGGTACTTGCCGGGGTGCAGGTGCATCGAGTACGTGATTTGGGCTCTTCACCAAATACTTCTGCTGAGTTTTTGGGTTTTTTATAAAACTTTATGACCTATAAATTAGGCCTGTGAGCATAAGACTCCTTCCAGGTTGCAAAGGACAGAGCCTGATGGGGGCCTTTTGTTAGATTTCCCCCAGGTTCGTTTTTGAGAGGCATGGGAACTTCATTATCCACACAGGAAAAATGAGGCAAGGGGAGAAGAAGGATTTCACCAAAGACTCAGCAGCAGAACAAGCCACCCCGTGTCCCAGCACATAGGCTCCGCTCCCTTTCGCTCTCCTGTAGCACCTTGTTTTACCCCCAGCTTTGTGTTTCTTCCCAGGGCCGTTACACAGCCTGTCTGCTTCCTCTGCGCAAGCCCAAAAATCCATCGAGAGCCTCTTTGCTGCTAGGTATGGGCCAACTCGACCTTCCTCTGAGCTTAGCAGATGTCTTGCACCTCCATGGGTCTGATGCAAACACAAACAAGAGGGAGAGGAGGGACACCCCAGGGTTAGCAGCTGGAGCCAGGAACGGGCATGACGCTGGTGTCTGGGGACCAGGGAAGGTTTTTGGAGGGGAAGGGTGGGCGCCAGGAGGGGCACGGAGGTTATGGCTGTATTTTTGTTCTCCTGCAGGCTGACCCTTCATAAAAGCAGGCTGCTGATTCGAGCCGCCAAAGGGTTCATGAGTAAATCTCCAAGCAGAGTGAGCGAAGCCAGCTCCGAGGGCGACAATGAGAACATAGACTACCTTCCCCTGGTGAGCAGCTCGTTCCTGGCTCTTGCTGGGGTTGCATGGGCACTGCAAGGGAGCAGAGGAAGATCTCCCCGGATCCTGCCTCTTGCTGTCTCTGACAGCCATCTCCAATGGTCTGCTTGGAGATGGAGAGCTGCTCCATCCAGGCACACCTTTTTCCTGAACTTGCCAGAAGTGGTTGGTATCTCAGAGCTTCTCTATGTGCCTCGCAGGTGTCTCTGCAGCTGGCCTGTGGTGCCTTCCTCATGAACTCGGCCTTCTGTGACGCCGTCAACATCCCCATGGAGAAGCTGAAGTGGACATCTCCCTTCGCCTGCCACCGCCTGGCCCTCAGCCCCTCCAGCTCCTACAGCACCAAGAAGGCCAGTCCCTCTGGGGAGCACAAAAGCCTCAGCTCCAGCCGGCAGCTCCTGGTTCCCAACGGGCACGGGAAGAGTCCCGCCACCAGAGACGTCACTCTGGGTGCGGTGCCACAGGGA